TTATTTTTCTAAGTGTCAGAAATGGATAACAAAACTGCTATTTTCAATGACTACTTATTTTTGTCCAGCTTTAACATCGGTATCGATATCGGTTATCGGCTACATGAGTTTTAAAATATCGGCATATCGGCCAAAATCCCAATATCGTCCATCCCTAGTATTTTGTGGACATGGCAGCCCTACATGATTTAATCTAATTTATGGGGTGACATGCAACGTACCAGAGGACATATACACGCGTTTGGGGGTTTAAGAGGAAATACATAGTGAAAATAATAATCCTAAAGTTAAAAAAAAAAAAATCTACTTGAAAAAAAAGGTTACTTAACTAGGATAAAGCTCGTAAAGTGAAAAATTGAAATTTTGTGTATCAGTGTTGGAGTGGATATAATTCATATTTAATCCATTTAATTACATTTTCATATGTTAAATTGATAAATGATCTAACATAGATTAATAAAGTAATTTAGGTCGGCTTCAAAATGGGCGTCGCCCTCTATGCCCAATGGCCAATCCAGCTCTGAGCTTCAATAAGAGTTTATCAAAAGCATTGCTTTTTAAGATATAACTGGTGACCTTTAGTTTGAATTTTCAGATCTAGTTCTTAGCTTTTTAGCTAATTTATTACAAACATTGTTATTTTATTTTTCTAAACTTAGGTCCGTTTGTCTCTTTGAAAGTATGAGAGTCAACCAGAAACTAAAAGAGGCAAGACATGCAAGGAGAGACGGATAATTACCTGGTTAAATTGCGTGCTTCATCTGTTCAGCTTGTAGCTCCAGAAAAAAAATAAATAAAACAATAATTTCAAAAATGTTATATTAGAGGAGTTTCATGGACTTGACATAATAATGCTCAGAGTTTTGTACAGGTTTGGCATGGCTTTTCTTAGGCTTTTATATTGTTTATCTCGACATCTGAGCTATGTTCCATGGATCGAAATTAGAAAATACATCATGATTCAAGTTTTGCCATGTTGTCCAGCCTTAAAGCTGAGAGCAGCGGAGATACAAAGAATGGCAGAAGCATGTCCCAAAGATCAGCATGTTGGACAAAGGATAGACAAGATGACCTAATCAGAACTCGAAGTCATGAGAAAATCGTCCTCTCTACCTTTAATTTAGTGGCATGGATATTTGTTAGCAAGAGCTTTAGGAAAATCTGAACTGTCTTTAGTTATTTATTTCAAAAATATGGATGTTTTGCTCGTTCATTTTCCTTTTTGAACAGCTTAGAAGGACTTTGAAATTATTCTTGTACTTCTGTCCACTGTCAGCATAAAGCAGGTATCCAATAAATGGAGCCAATCAGAGCAGAGGAGTCTTGATCTTTTATTAGCTAGAGCAGAGGTCTGCAACGTTTTCCAGGCCAAGGACCCCCAAACTGATGGCGAGAGGGAGCGGGGATTGAAGTAATGTAATTAAAGTAATTTCACCCTGGGATTATTAAAGTATTTCTGATTGAGATTCCTGGTTGATGGGACAGGTGTTGTAAATGAAACGGTTCCCAGTTTGAAAGAGCTCCTGTGTGTCGCTGAATGTGTGCATTGATGACTGAAAGACATCTACTGCCTCCATTTATCTGTTTACTTCAATGTGTTGAATTCATGTTAATGTGGATTTAAAGACATTTCAATTAGTGGAAAAATTGCACTGCAAAAAATTCATATCTCAATAAGTGATTTCTTCTTAAAATAAGTGAATTTGTTCTTGAATTAAGGAGGTAAGTGAGACACTTTGCCAATGGAACAAGACAATTTACATTTATAATAAGAAAAAACAAATATATAGCCTTATTACAAGTGCATATTATCTAATTATCTTATTTTAAGAGTAAAAATACTCATTCCATTGGCAAATGGTCTATTTTACCTGCTCAAATTAAGGGTAAATACACTTAATTTAAGACATATTTACTCATTTTTAGATTGTTTTTGCAGTGTGCAGGGGGAATATTATAAAAAAAATTCTAATCAACCAAAACTTTTGCGACCCCATGCAGTACCTCTTCCCCCCCCCCTAGGGTTCGCGGACCCCTTGTTGAAGACCACCGCTGTAGAGGGATTGGACTGACTGGTACCTGTGGTGATGGTAGGCTCTGGGCCCAATTGAGCAGATGGTGAAGAAAGCAAAGGCGAAGGTTGGTAAGGACCAAGCGGCGAGTGCGTAACCACACCACTCTAAGATCTCTCCGAAAAAGTTAGCACCAGAGACGAACTCAAACATCCCTCCTGGAAGACAGAAACAGGTCAACAGGAAGAGGACTGAAGGATTTTGGTGGATCTATCGCGTCTTTGATTGGGTTTGTACCGCGAGGAATCCTGTAGACAATCTCCCCAGGGTTCCTCAGGTTCCGCAGAATGTGGTCGCTGTGGATGTTGATGATCAGACCGATGAAAAACAGCAGAAACCCTTTTAAGAGGTAAAAGGAGATGTTAGGTCCACCAGAAGGTCTCGTAACCAGCTTTAAGTATAATTCGTCTTCAATTTTTTTTAGTAATTTCAGAAACAACTAAACCCAGGGGAACCGGGTCAAACTGGTAAGAACCCAGACACCCCTCACACTGGCTGCAGTTTCCTCTGACGTTCCAAAAACCTTCGGAAAGCCCTTCCAGTCGACGGGGAGCAGCTTTCTGTGACTCACCTGCAGAGATCCGAGCGTTCGTCACCCAGTCAGGCTGGAACTTGGCGCAGTGGAGCAGGTGGTGTCCCTGCAGGAAGCCATTCAGCGAGCAGAAGATAAAAGCGGAGAAGACGATCTTTAACGGCACCGGCCGGCCTCGGGTCAAAGGGGAGTAGACAAAGCTCCTGAAGAACAAAAGACAATCGTCTTCAAAACATGTAGACTAAAATGGAATAAGCTTTTAGAAGGATTAAAAACCATGGAGTGTTTTATTGATCTAAAGCTCTGGTCATATAAACAATCAACTGAAACTGAAGAGCTGGACCCAAACCCGACTGGGTTCTGACTCATGATCCAGTTTCCCTGAAACTCACCAGCTGCTAAATGAGTTATAAATGAGAAAGAAAATAAAAGCAGGCATTTTTAAAAGACTGTTGAAGGCAAACCTCTTATCTCTTATTGCTGTACGTTATAATGTCCCACGCTACAAAGGTACCTTAAATGCATCACAGTTTTTTTAGGTTGGATACCAGATTATATGGAGTCAATTATGTTCCAGTATTGTTGCAAATAATACATTTTGTAAATGTTATATTTGAAATAAATGCAATCCAGAAATGAAACTTAGAAGAAAGTTTGAATAAAAAAGGGGGTTTAGCTAGTAACTTTGCCGTTCTCTGAGATTATTTTTCTATGTATTTTGTATGTATTTTGCATATTTTACCTTTTAAAACTTTTTATATTTAAGTTTATATAAGTTTTTCAGACTGAATTTTA